ACGGAATATAGTATTGTTCATAAGATAATATAAAAGATAAACGGAATATATTATTGTCTAGTTATTATTGAATTGGGGTATTCTAGTGTAGAGCGATGAGTTTTAGGTCATTTTTAAAGTGTCGTAAAACAAAGCATTGAATGTTTTTCATTTTTTTACCACTTACAATATTTACTTATGATACATAAATTAAAAAAAAAGTTGAAAATTGAAGAAACTGGCAGCTAATGAAGTGGGGGGTCTCAAAAAATTGGCACCTTAGTCTTGACCATCTTGACATGATTTCAGCCCTCCTAGTCATCCGAAATAAAAGAAATAAAAAGATTATTAATCTACAATGATGTCGCAATCGTCCGAACTAGCGATGAGTGAAAAAAATTTTTTTTACAAATTGGCGACTGTTTGATAAAAAGTGTTTTTCTACTGTTTTTTTTTTTTGAGTTTCTCAATTTTTTTAAAAATAGTAAAAATTGGAATTTGGGGATAATCCTAGTTCGGGCTATAGATAGGTCTATAAACAAGACTCTCTGAACTTTTCAAGTGAATCGGTCGAGTAGAACTCGAGAAATCGTGTCAGCAGTACTGAATAAGTCTGTGAGAAAAACGCATTTAAAGTTTTGCGTGAAGCCAAACCAGTATGGAGACCGAGTCAGTAAAATGCCTATATCTCCGAAAATAATTCAAATTTTCAAAAACCTTCTCGTACCTATATTCTTAGATAGTTAAACTTTGAAAATATGAAATAAAAAAACGATTTTTTTGAATTTCTACACTAGAATATCCCCTTAAACGGACTCTAATATTCTCCATAAGATTCAATCATTCAAAATAAAAATTTGGACCATAATTTAACTACTAATTTCATTTTTCACAATTTTATCATTTTGGTCAAATTTCATATTTCCTCATAACTAAAAAATTCAATTTTCACCATCCAATATATACATGTTAACAGTGTAACATCCGTGCGAGACCTTGTACTTGCACGGAGCGTACTCCCTCTACGAGGGCGGCCCCGCACCCGCTCGTTTGGGGTCTATTGATCCCCGCGCTCACACGGGGGCCACTAGAGCGAGCGAGCCAGCTAGCGACAGCAGTCGACATTCGCATAGACTTTGTCCGAAATATAAAGGATATATTACATACATGTGATTTAAATGACAAAAACCCAATGACTAACACCTTCTGATAATTCATTCAGATATTTATTGCTGCCATTTGTTTGCTGATTGCTTATTGTATACTCAATAAATGTTTGAAAGATTACTTACAACAATAATAGACACTTAAATTTGTTAAAATATCATAATCCTAAATTTGTTAAATAAAATTATTATATTGTAAAGATTATTAAAATACTTGTTAACTTTTTAAAAAAATACTTGCAACAAACTAACTATATTTAAAAATAATTAAAATTAACTAAATATAAATAAATTAAATAATAAATAAATAAGTGATAAATTAGCTAATAATTAATTAAATTATATTAAACCTATAAAATATTGACTTAAGCCTTATTAAAATATTATTATATCGACGGCTTGTAAAATGAATAAATAAAAAATACTTACAATAGATCAAACACGTTGACTTCACTGATACAAAAATTATCAGTAATTTTAACTAAACAGATTACTTAATAGTTTTTTATTATAGTAATTTTTACACATTACCCAAAATCTACAACTACTGTAGGATTAAAAAAGATTACACATATTAATAAAATAAGAAATATATTTCTTACTAACTACATATACGTAGTTAAATTTTCCTTGTCAGTCATATGTGTTTGACGCTAAGAAGTTCTACATGAGCCATGTCAGACATATATTTGATAGAAGAAGAAAAGTTTTAATATTGAGCGATATCAGTCATATATGTGTGACATAAAAAATAGTGTTTTTCTAGAAATTTCGACAAAATTTTTGTCTTTCTTTGATACATTAAATTTCCAAGATACAAGATTTTGAGATTTATTAGATGACAAGATTTCCTAGATTTATTAGATTTTAATTATCTAATAAAGTTACCGCGGCAAATGTAAAAAAAATTCTGTTTTTATGGATTATCTTTAAGATTTGTTTAATAATTTAATTAATAGTAGTTCTAGTTAATAAAATAAGGCGATCATAATGAAAATCTATTTTTAAATTCATATTTTCTATAATAATATTATTATTATTAAGCTTATTTTATTTTACTGGGATTTAATAAGACTGGGATGGCTCATGACTTATTTCTTATTAGTTAGTGATTTATTATGAAAAATTTACTAAAAATTTTCGTTTTCAATTTATTATATATGAAAGGATATAGTTCATTTAAATTCAAATTAATAAGTTGAAGAATGGAATTAATATGCTAAAATTGAAAAAGATATATAATAGATGATTTTGATAAAATCGGTTTTAATTTTAGTGCTAATATTTATGTTTTCTATAATAATAATAATAATAATCCTTTAATAGAGATTTTTTATTTTTAAGGTCATCAACTCTCCTGATAAAAAATGGAAATAACTTAATCATTATTTATAAGATATTATTTAATAAGTAAATAGTTAAAATTATATAATTGTGAATTTATATCGAACGGAAAAACAACTACTGAGTTGTTTTTTCCAACATGCCCCCTTGTAGTATACAATGTCCTTTTTGTACCGACTATTGTAAATTCATCAAATTTATTGAATGTCCTTTACTGGACAGTTGTCAATAAAAGAGATAATAATAATATAAAAAAATCATCTTGAATCTTAAAAAAATTGGTGTAAAACGATAGTTTATTTAAATTAAATATAATACTAATTTGAAATCTTTGAAATTTATTAGGATTATTTTAAATATTGATTTTTAATTTTAATCCTAATATTTGTATTTTCTATAATAATTATTATGATTAGTCTAAATTTAAGTAGTGAATAAATCGTAATATATAGTTTCTTACTGTTTAGTAACTTACTATATATTTTTTTTAATTTACCGTTTTTAATATATTATGTATTAAAAAATTACAGCCCAAAATTATGAATTTCTTATTGAATTCCAAATTCGATTTAATCATCTTAAATCTATTATCACCAATTATTTATCAATTATCCCACGTGGCAGTTTTTCCAGCGCCTTCCAATTATTTTCCAGAGCAAGACAATTTTCTTTACGCAAAATATTACAAATTTATCATGAAGGCAAAAAGGTATATGTTTTTGTTTTCGTTAAATCCGGAGGTCAATTGTAATACTAAGGATACAAAGTGTGTAAACAAGTCAAGGGAATAAGTTGGCACAAATTATTCACAAGGGCTTCCGGGTATTATTACTTTTTTGACGAGTTTCGAATTAATTCAAACTTTCACGAGATAATATTATTATATTATATATATATATATATATATATATATATATATATCGTAACTTAAATAAATATAAAAAAAACATTATATCCTTTATTACTTCTTTATTACTATCTTTATCTCCAAATCGATTCCATGTTGGAATAGCATTTAAATAATCACAAAAAATAATTACTCTATTCATATTTATATATCAACAGCTCACGTGATCAACTGAATAAATAATATTTATTCTAATTATATTGACTAATTCTTCTACGAATTAAAGTTTCATTTTACGAATGAATTATCACATAAGTAATTTCCTAATACATATGATTACCAAAAATAAATACAATATTTTTAATAAAATAATTTAAAAATATAAGATATACACATTGAATTTTAACGTTATTGTCGAACATTACAATAACCATTTAATGATATACAATAATTGCACAATTTTCTAATTATATGATTTTTTGTAATTGCTTTTACTCATATTAGTTAAATATCACTTAAAGAACCATTATATTATGTAAACAACTATTCTTCACATTACAAGGTATAATATTTCACATTGAATAACATGCTTTTAGATTCACTATTTCGTGCTTTAATTTTTTATGAATTATATTCAGAAGGATTCAATCAGAGGCATCAAACTTGTGGCCCAATAAATTACTGATCATATCATATTAAATTAACGATTCTTTGTAAAGACTTCCTTACTTTAAATTCGCGAATTAATTCATATCAATTAATAGTTGACATTACATAGGCATTTATATTTATTATCTTATGAAATAAATTTCCGATTAATGAATATTTACAATCCAAACATTGGTAATGTTATATTTATAAATATTCCTCTTTTGCACATGATTAACTTATTATCCAGTTTCTAAAGATAAATATATTCTATATTTCTAATAGAATAAATATATTCTATATTTTTTATTTATTCGAAAATAGTGCAAGCTTTTAAAGGGTTAATTTATGCATCTAATTAATGCACAACCGTAATTTAAATTTAAAAGATTATGCGAATTAGTTAGATTACTATAATGAAAATTCAAAAATTGTTGGGTTTTATTTAAATATTAGACGCGCCAGGAATGTATTCTTTTGAAATTAGGCCAATGAACCTGATTTTAAAAATAAATTTTATTAATCATGTAAGTGGTCCTGCCAACTTTCAACTTGATTAATAATAAGTAAACATAAACAAATTTATAGGTTTTTTAGAAATTTCATTTAGATCTCGTATATATTTGAATTTAGATTCTACTATAAAATTTAAAATCTGTTTCTAATATTTATTACTAATATTAATGAATATATATAATATATTGGACGTATCTATGATCACTAAAATAAATTTATAACGTTGTCTAATATTTATGTGTATTACTACTACGTTAAAATTAGTTAGAAATTAGCGTTAATACTATTAAACGTGTTATTAAAATAAAATTTCATAAATTTTTAAAGAATTTCTTTGATCAAAATAGCATTTTTGAGAACTAGATTACGATGGAAATTCAATTTAACATAAGTATAATCAAGTATAACCTTTCCTTGCGGCGCTTTTAAATGAAATATCTCAAATGCCATTGGAATCTCCGATTATTAACCAAAATTAATTTTTTCTTACCTCCACTTATTTATTCGCTGTAAAAGAAGTTTACTGCTCTGTTTATGTCGTAGTCGGCGGCTAATATGACCCTAATAAGAGTCTCATTGCTCGGAGCATCTCCTACGATATCGCGAATTAAAGCCAAACAGGACTCCAAATGTTCGTCGGAATCATTACTAAGGGAATCCAATGAGAGAATAGACTGAAAATAAAAGAACAGTAGGAATAAATAGACAAGTTTTAAAAAAAATCTAATATTCTGGTAACTGTTTAAGGCACTTGTACCACAAATACTCTTATACTTACAGAGTGGTCTCCGTGTAACATCATTTCTTCTAAATCTCCAAAAGTGTCCCTTTCTTGAACTTGTGATTGCATATTCATGCTATCTGAGCGTGTACATCTAGGTGGAGAAGGTGGCATACAAGGCATTCTGTTTGAAAATAAAAAAGCAAAAAAAATCTAGGAAAAAATCTAATAGTAAATGTGATTTAAAGTTCTTCTATTTTCTATAGAAAACAAAGAAATTCTTTATTGTCTGATCTAAGCTTTAAAAAAAAGTCCAGTATACTTTCTAAATATATTTACCTATCCCTAAATTTGTTTGCCCTTCGTGATGGTGTTTTCCATTTAACAAATTCCGCGGTTTCATTCTGCAAATCTTCAGACAACTTTTTGAATAGATCACTGTTCATCAAAGTAGGATTAATAGCTATATATTCTAAACAAGTTGCTTTTAAAGCCTCTAAAAAATAAAATACAACAATTAATAAAGAGATTCATTTTATTCGAGTTTTATTTAATTTACCTGCATTAATTTGATCTGAAATGCTTAGCAAGAAAATAGCTGAATCGTCATCCACTCCAGTGATTAATATAAATTCTGTTATTTTCTTTAGTTCATCCACTTCATAACGATCTGCTAATAACATTAGTTCTGATAATGCATCCTGATTCGAAATACAAGTTTGGCTGACACCATTTCCATATAAATAATGCAAAAACTCTTTGAAAACGTTTGGACTTGTATCATATATCACTATTTTTCTGAAATAAATATTAAATAAAAATATAATAATAATTATTTTATCAAAATCATAATGCAATAATCATTGGCATATAAATATTTATTGGTATATTTAAGAAAAGGACTCTATGACAAAATTGTTATTCAATTAAAATTTATTTATTTTAATTAATTTCATAAAAAAAATATGATAGTATATTTCAGATTCTAATACCTGTTTCTATCTTCAATCATTCCAGACAGTAATGCTCGCCGGAACCAAGGGCATCTGGCAGCTACAATAACACGGTGTGCATATATTACAATGGCTTCTGGTGAATTTAAATTTGATTCTATAGGACAGGGAATTTCTGTGAAAAATATTAAGTAAGTTAAAGATGCTTGGTACATATTTATATTAATTGTTATACCTGATAAAGGAGACTTATCTTCCCTCGTAGAGACTATTATAAACTCCATGTCTGTGTGCATCTCATTGTATAATAACCTAGTAATTTTTCTAGCTAACATGCTATGATCGGAGCTTGGAGAGGTAAGCAAATATTCACCTAAAACTAACTGTAAAAAATTGAAATAACATTTAATATTTGTTGAAAAATAATAATAGCATGTGCTAGAAGGTTTTCATACTTGGCAGTTTAATTCTGGTTGATTTTTATTTCTATTTCCGGACCAGCTTGTTTTTGAAGAGCTTTCAAACAACATATTGCTTGTTGAGTCATTATCCTTACTCTCGAGTTTTGGTTTCAGAATGCCTAAGGATTTCATAATTTGTGTGAATCTCTCCCTTTGCATTATAAAGCACATCTGAAAATAACATTAAGTTATATTTTTATACTTAAAAATTAGCTTTCATATGTAATAAACCTGTTCAGTAAGTTTTTCTGCAATATCCACATTTGTAATTATTCTTTGCAATATTCCAGCCTATAAAAATTTTAATTATGAATACTATGATATTACAAAATCTATAAATAATTTCTAGTTACCACTGTGGTAGTAGTCAATTTGAATCCAAAATTAAATTCATATGGGTCATATTTATCATCCAAAGTAGAAATAACTTCTTGAAGTCTTACAATAAATAATGGAAACTCTTCACTAATCATATCAAAATTGTGTGTGACTGCTCTGTACTGCTCATTTTGACTCATTTCATCAAAACATTCCCTGAAATAATTATTTTAATCAAAGATACTATTTTGTTTTACTTTTAAGTTAAAAATTATCACCTTTTATCAATTCCATAAAGCATTAAGTAAGTAATTTTGCTGTGAAGTATTTTCAATATAGTCAATTCATTATATCCATAATCACATTTATTTCGAGAAATAACTTTAGACCTGCTTGCGCCTTCAGATGTTGACTCTGCTTCAACAATCTAAAATATGATAAATATGAATGATTATTTTGAATATTGATTTCAAAACATTCTAACAATGATTAACATGAAAATCATCATGCAAATTGCTGATGCATTTATGTTTGGTGTACATCAATAATAAATTTTAAATATGCCACACTGAATAACATATACTAACATTTAATATAAATAAAAATGTGATTAAATATATATTTCATCGTGATAAAGTGTATAAGTTAGACCCTAAGACCTAATACAGTGTCATATGCAGTCTAATATAAATATGAATACATTTAATCAAGTGTTTACATGAATATACAGTATGTTTGTGCATATGAATTACTAACATATCACTCTACTAGCAATTTCTACTAAAACTCACTTCAATTAATTTCTCCACAGCCAGTTTGGCATGTGCAAAAACTGTTGTAAAACTGTTGAGGAAACCCTCAATCTATAAAGAATTTTTCATCATAAAAACTTTTACTTTCTTACATGTGTATACTCACATTTTAACTGACCTCAGGAATAACATACTGAGCGAGCTCTTGTTTATGAGAAGGTGATAATGTTTTGAACGAGTCCCATGCGCATTTTAAGCCCTTGTATAATAATTTGACAAATGTAGGAAATAAATTAAAAGCATATCGTAATATTGCATGTCTGTCCAACGTATGCAAATTGTTGCAGTTGATTTTTAAATCTAAACAAAGTTCTAGAAATGAGCACAAGCTGGAAATAGAAATATATACTACATTATGAGCTCTTCTAGGTTTAATCAGCAAATAATTATGTTTTATACCTATTGCAATTTCTTTCATTCCATTTTTGAATGCGTGACACAATTGAATAGGTGTCTGTGAGTCTTTGCATGTTAAATTATCTATACATTGCGTAAGACATATATACATATCCATAATAATACTCTCTATACCTAAAATATACAAAATAATGTACAAAATTAATAATAACTTAACAAATAATATTTTTTGCATTTCAAAATCAACATATTATATTTTATAACTTACGATATTTATTTCCATGTTAGTTATGAACATCTTGCAGCTTTCTGCTAATGACGTCAGAACTGGAGCCTTTTCTGCTAATTTTATAATCTACAAATGAAAAAATAAATAAAATAAAAACACATTTATAGAATTTCTCAAAAATAATTACCTCTTGGCAAACATCTATTGATATATCACTATGTAAGCAATTACAATATGCCCAATGAAGAATAGTTTTCAAAACAGGCGATGATAGTCCATCAAGGCTTATAAATCTATTAGCATTTCCACAAAGACCGGATAGTCTTAAGACAACGGAGTGTACATTAAACTAAGAATATAAATATAGAAAAGACCAATTTAAGTACAATTAT